TTATTGACTTGCATGTGTGACCTTAGATTCACAGTAATCATAATCAAGTTGAAGAGCAATGATTGCTATATCATCTGTCATGGGGTCCAAAGTCAAGAGTACGAAGATGGCCAGTATATTTTATAAACCGGTATAATTTTCACACTCAAGAATATGGAATAGGAAAAGCCACAATGAATAGTGGTGTATGTGTTCGGTCATCAAATGGTGGCAGTTCAAAAGATGATTTTTATGGCTTGTTGGATGAAATCATAGAGATAGAGTACCATGGACCATTAATGCGGGTTATGTTATCTAAGTGCATGTGGTTCAACCCCGTCAAAGGAATGAAGGTGCATACGAAGTTTAATTTGGTTGAAATAAATCATAAGAAAAGGTATATGAAATATGAACCATTTGTCTTGGCACAATAAGCAATTCAAGTATATTATGCATCATATCCTAGTTTGAAACATGACAAAACTGATTGGTGGGCTATATGTAAAATTAATGCACGAAGAAAAATCGAGGAACACTGAAAGGATATAACATATCAACAAGAGGAAGTTTGTAATGCGGTTGAAACTGAGGAATATAACATTCCAACTTTACAAGATCCATATGGAGCAATGATAGATATAGATCTAACTGAAATTCGCGAATCAAATCTAGAAGGTGTTGCAGAATCTGATTTTGAGACAGAGGATGAAGATCAAGATCAAGACGAAGACGAAGGTGAAGATGAAGATCAAGAAGAAAATGAAGGTGAAGATGAAGATTATGATTTTTTAGACTTTTTATTAATTATGTGTAATTATTATTATTATTGCGACATGTGTTATTGTTGTTGTCATAATTATTGTTGTTATTATTATTATTATTATCATTATTATTGTTATTATTATTATTTATTTGATAAATTGTTAATATGAAAGGTCATCGCTAATTTCGTCGCTAATTGGCGACAAACATAATTTCGTCGCAAAATTAGCGACAACATTGGCGACAATTTTTATTTGCTTAATTTTTAATATAATAGGTCATCGCTAATTTGCGTCATTGCTAATTTTGTCGCAAAATTATACTACAAAAAAATAAGGATTTAGCCACGGAACATTAGCGAAGAACGCTAATTCGTCGCTAATTTGGGACGAAAATAGCAACGAACGCAAATTCGTCACTAATTTTTTACGGAAATAGCGACGAAAATAACTTTTGCTGCACGAACGCGACTATTTTTATAGTTCGTTGCTAATTTTGTCGCTAATTTGCGACGGAAATAAAGACGAAAGTAACTTTTGCGGCACGTGCCCGACTATTTTCATAGTTCGTTGCTAATTCCGTCACAAATTAGCGACGGATTTTAATCCGTCGCTAATTAGCGACGGACGGATTTAGCGACGACAATAACTTTCACGACTATTTTATAGTTTGTTGCTAATTTCGTCGCAAATTAGTGACGAATTAAAATCCGTCGCTAATTTGCCACGAAAATTATTCCGTCCCTAATTTACCGCGAAAGTTAATTTCGTCGTTACTTCCGTCACTAATTTGTGACGAATTTTAATCCGTTGCAAATTAGCGACGGATTTTAATGTGGTGCTAATTTCCGCGAAAGTTAATTTCATCACTAATTCCGTCGCTAATTTGGGACGAATATTAATCCGTCGCTAATTTTCCACGAAATTAGCGATTAAAATCCATCGCTAATTTACCGCGAAATTTAGCGACGAATTAAAATCCGTCCCAAATTTACCGCGAAAGTTAATTTCGTCGCTAATTTGCAACGGATTTTAATCCGTCACAAATTAGCGACGGATTTTAATGCGTCGCAAATTAGCGACGGATTTTAATGCGTCGCTAATTTACCACGAAAGTTAATTTCGTCGTTAATTCAGTTGTTAATTTGTGACGAATATTAACACATCGCTAATTTGCCATGGAATTAGCAACGAATTTACCGCGAAAGTTAATTTCGTCGCTAATTTACCGTGAAAGTTAATTTCGTCGCTAATTCCGTCACTAATTTGCGACGAATTAAAATCCGTCGTAAATTTGCGACGGATTAAAATTCGTTGCAAATTTATCGTGGAAGTTAATTTCGTCACTAATTTCGTGGCAAATTAGCGACGGAATAAAATTCGTCGCAAATTAGCGACGAAATTAACTTTCGCAACACTTTCGCAACTATTTTTATAGTTTGTTGCTAATTTCGTTGTTAATTAGCAATGAATTAAAATCCGTCACTAATTCCGTCGCAAATTAGTGACGAATTTGAATCCGTCGCAAATTAGCGATGGAATTAGCAACGAAAATAACTTTTGCAGCGCCGTCCCGACTATTTTATTTTCGTCGCTAATTCCATCGCTAATTAGCGACGGATTCAAATTCGTTGGTAATTTGCGACGGAATTACCGACGAAATTAACTTTGGCGGAACATTCCCGACTATTTTTATAGTTCATCGCTAATTCCTTTGCTAATTAGCGACGAAAATAAACTTTCGCCGCACATTCGCAACTATTTTTATAGTTCGTCGCTAATTTCGTTGCTAATTAGCAACGAATTCGTCGCTAATTAGCAACGGAATTAGCTATGAAAATAAACTTTCGCGGCACATTTGCGACTATTTTTATATTTCGTCACTAATTTCACCGCAAATTAACGATGGATTTGAATTCGTCGCTAATTAACTTTCGCGACTATTTTTATAGTTCGTCGCTAATTTCGTCGTAAATTAGCGACGAATTCAAATCAGTTGCTAATTTGCGGCGAAAATAAACTTTTCGCGGCACATTCGCGACTATTTTTATAGTTCATCGCTAATTTGCGAAATAGCGTCGTCTTGATTTGAGGGTACAATTAGGATTCGACTCTCTCTCGGCTCTCTCTCTCTCGATCGATTCTTCGAGTAGAGCAAAAAAAATTAGGGCTCTCTCTCTCTCTCTCTCTCTCTCTCTCTCTCTCTCTCTCTCTCTCTCTCTCTCTCTCTCTCTCTCTCTCTCTCTCTCTCTCTCTCTCTCTCTCTCTCGATTCTCAACGGCTTCCTCCGACGAGTGTTTCTTCGGATTTGGCGTTCTTCAGCGCGATTTTTTCTTGGAGAAAGGAACCCCTTCGGCGGACGCTGGGAAGATCGTGCTGACCGTCGTCCGAGAGGAACCTTGTTCCTCAAACGCGAGGATCGTCGTCCGAGAGTTTCGGATCTAAGGAAGATTGTCGTCCGAGAGTTTTAGAGGAGGTACGTTCGTGTGAATTTTTTGCACTTTTTGTCTCGGGTGAGCTCTGTTTCGGATTGTTCGGTTTCAGATTCTGTGGGACGTTTGTTTGCTGCTGCTTCTTTTATATTGAATTTCTGCTGCTTCTTTTTGTTCGGATTGGGTTTGCTGTTCGGTTTCGGATTCTGTAGGGCAGAGATTATTCGGTTTCAGATTATGTGGGACGTTTGCTGCTGCTGCTTCTTTTATATTGGATTTCTGCTGCTTCTTTTTGTTCGGATTGGGTCTACTATTCGGTTTCGAATTCTGTAGGGCGGAGATTGTTCGGTTTCGAATTATGTGGGATGTTTGCTGCTGCTTCTTTTATATTGGATTTCTGCTGCTTCTTTCTGTTCGAATTGGGTATGCTGTTCGATTTCAGATTCTGTAGGGTGGAGATTGTTCGGTTTCGGATTCTGTGGGACGTTTGTTTGCTGCTGCTTCTTTTATATTAGATTGGGTCTGCTGCTTCTTTCTATTTTTATATTGGATTCGACTTATCTCGGGTTGAATGGACTGGGTCTGATTAGATTTTATATTAGATTGTTCGGTTTCGAATTGGGTCTGTTTTAAGCCAAGTACCTAATTGATGCACTTAGATTGGCGAACTCGGAATGGGCTAAAATTTGATCGGCTGTGTGGAAACGGGCCGCTGATCAATACCCATAGCTTTGCTATGACAGACGTCGTTTTTTTTTTACTTTTTGGAGTCGTTTAGATAGGTTTTCGAGTAGAAACACATTGTGTTTCACAGATTTTTAGTCCGGTTTAAATATTGTGTGAAAGATACATGATACGCATTGTGTTTCACATGGAACTGCTTTCTAATGTTCATTAACAGATTTTGGAATAGAGGGTTATAGTTCTTGATTGCCAAATATGCTCCCCTTTTATTTATATTTAGGTTTGAAAATATCCTAATTTGATCATGTCATGTAATATGCTCCCCATCATTCATTCTCCTGTTTTCTTCTTAGATAATAATCACCAGAAAGCGCTTCACTTCACTAGCTTTTTGAATGTTTTTGTAGACAGAGGTAACAACTGTTATTTGTGGCAAAAAAGAGCTAAAGAAGCTCGTAGACATTTCCGAACAGCTTGCTATTTATCAGAGGCGATAGCAAGTCTGTTTCGTTTTCTCAAGTTTATCTCTTGCTCTCCGAAATAAAATGGTAAGCTTCATGATGTACATTATTATGTGTCCCTAATACATGTTCATGTTTTTTAAGATATTTATCTAACCTTCCTACTTGTCAGTATAAATGTGGATGTCACATGCATGGTGCAGTTTCACAAAGAAGAGCAGCCCCTTCCCCTTCCTCGTCCCCATCCCTTTCCTCTTTCCCTGCCCTTTCATGCTTCCCTCAACCACTACATGCTGATCGACAACATGAACACATTAGCCCTTCCTCTGACCCTCAAGAACATATTAGGGGACAAGTTGGACACATGCAAATTAAATCTACTTCAGGTCCATGTCCTTCAGTTCCATCTCCTTCGGTTCCACCTTCTTCTTCGGTGCAACACTCGAATGATGAGGGAAACACAGGTGAAGAAGATAGCCGATTCATGATATGCCCATATGGAGATTCGTAAGTACTTCATTTTTTTAAGTATATGTAATATTTAGGGTTTTGGATATGGATGTCAAGCTGAGTTGTCCATGTTGCAAATTATCTGTATGCTTCATTGTTTCATTGTCCATATCGTTCTTTCTAACATGTTTGCAGATTCACGGATGCTACGTATGTTGTGAGGCAACTTAATAACTCTTGAAGGGGGCAGTATATTAGTTACAGCAGCGCTCCAAAAGAAGTAAAGGATTTGTAGTGGAATGAGTTCAAGGTAAGTTTTGTTCTTCTAGGTGTTTCTAGTGGCCGTGTTAGGGATCGGATCATACCCTCTTATTGGTACTTTTAAGTATAGAATTGTGTCCAGTGTCTCACCGATATCCATTTTCTGGATTCGATCTGGCCATTATTGGTACTTTTAAGTTTCTTCTAAATATGTTCCTGCAGTTTTTTGGCCATGACCAAACTGAGTCGGTCACAACGTGATGGATAGTCCAAAAGCCATCCTAAAAGGTTGCAAGTTTGGGGGTAATGGAAGCCCAAAGGGAAAATATGCTAACTCAACAAAGATTCTAAATTATCCTCGCTTTAAGTGACTAAGTTTTTTTCCTTTTTTTGAGCGTGTTTTATAACGTTTTTGCACTTTTATGACAAAAATGAACCTATTTACTATTAAAAATCACGAATAATTCTAAAACGAACCTATAACAAAGTTTGTATATTTAGGACAATTAATCATAAGGGAATGGTTTTTCGAGAGACTATTAAAGACCTTGGCTAGTTACTCCTGTGTATTTGTTGCGAATGACTTTCAATAGCAATAGTATAGCTTCTTTTTCTTTTTCCTTTTTTAATTTGATGTCTATGTTTTCATTGTTTTCATATGTAAAGTAAAAGAGCAGGAAGAAGAGATAAGAGTTGACTGTTCCTTGGGGCATGTTATATACGAGAGTGCCACCCCTATGTTACAAAATGTAGTCTGGGTGCTATTGTTAAATTGCTCCCTATTTAGGCCTCCAAGTTCTTAGAATGTAGATGGCTTCATTATTTTGGCATGTTTACATTCTCACTTGTGTAACAGATATTGTTTCTTCTAAATATATTCCTGCATTTTCGCCAGAGCTCTTAAATATGCCTCTGGTTACAACTTCATCTTCATCGGTTTGAGAAGGTGTGTGTGCATCCGAAGAGTTGCTCTAATATCATGTTAATGGATATATATATATATATATATATATATATATATATATATATATATATATATATATATATATATATATATATATATATATATATATATATAAAGGGTGGAAGAACTCATTCCGAAAAGTCGGCTTGCCAAGAGAGGGAATGCAAATGCTTATACAACTCTTTAGTTGTCAGAAGTGGGAAGTCCCACATCAAGTAGTAATGGATATGAACTTTAGAAAATCCATTGCTGAATTGTCTGGTGCATGGTAATGGATATGTGACCCTCATAATAACTTTCAGTTGTGTTGACACCTATTTTTAATTTGCCCAAAATTAATTAAACAAAATTTTGGAGTTAATTTTCTTTAATTCCTAAAACAAAAATATTTCAATTTAAATGCATTGCATATAGAAATTAGGCACATTTTGCATTAATAGGGTCTATTAGAAAAGATTAATTAAAAAAAAAATTCGAAAAAAATCGAGTCGGGCCGGGCCGACCCGGCCCTTTTCTTTTTCCCGCATGGGCCCCAGCCCACTCTTCTTTCTTTTCCTTTTCTTTCCCCCCCTGCGGGCCCAGCCCGCTTTTCTTTTTTTCCTTCTTCTTTCCCCTACGCGGCTGGGCCTGGCCCGGCCTAACCCCTTCTCTTCCTTCTTCCCCCCTGCGCCGAGCGGTCCTTTTCTCTCCTCTGTTCTCCTCTGTCGCTGACGCAGAGCGACAAGCGGCGGAGCAGCCCCGCGCTATCCCCATCCGGTCAGAGGAAGCCGAAGAAACACGCCAATGGGACTGGCCTTAATGGCCAGTCCCGTCTTCCCCATTTCCCGGCCATCTCTCTCTCTCCTTCTCCCCTCTGTTTTCCGCGTGTCAGAGCAGCTCCTGCACCGGCCTAAATGGCCATAAAAGTCTTCAAGGGGCGTAGGCCGGTGCAGGCCGTCGTCAGCAGAGGCAACGGAGCAGAGAGTGAGCGTGGTCGTCGGCCTATACAGGCCAGAGAGAGAGAGAGAGAGGCGGGGGGGGGGGTCTTTTCTCGGTCGGTTTGAGCATAGAGAGAAACATGGAGAGAACAGAGAGAAAGAGAGCTGAGAATAGAGAGAGAGAAAGCAGGTCGGGAGTACGCCGGAGCGAACCATCAGCGTCGCCGTCGCCGTGAAGCAGCCAAAGCCGCCCGGTCGGCCGGAGGGAGAGAAAAACAGAGCAAGAGAGAAGACAGAGAGAGCTGAGAATAGAGAGAGAGGGAGAGAGCGAACCACTGGAACAGGACAGAACCAGCAGCGTCGCCGTCGCCTTCAGACCCGCCGTAAGCCGCCCAGCCGTGCCGTCGACCGGTGAGCATCCCCGGGTCCCGATCACCTCTGTCCTCCCCTGTTTTTGCACGCGGTCCGGCCGGGACTCGCGCTGGCTGAGTCGCGCGATTCCCAGCACATGCCGTCACCGGTCCCGGTCCCCACTCGCAGTCAAACGTCAGCCGCAGCCGTCGGAGCTGACCGTGCCGCCGGAGGAGGTCGAAATCGGCTGATTTCCACCGCGCACGCCCAGTGTTCGACAAAATGCCTCAATGAGGCCGGTTTTTGTCTCGTCGCCGGCCGGCGAACGGCGGTACGATGGCGGCTCAGGTGAGTGGTGTAGCTTAATGGTGGTACAGGGGGTCGATTTGGGGGGAGGCGCCGGTCTGGGTCGGCCGGCGGACAGCCAATTTTGGCTCCGCCGGCGTTTCTCCCCCCGCGGGTCTGCAGTTCGAGTCAGACCCGACCCGAATCAGCAGATCCGACCCGGGTCAACGCCCGGGTCGGATCCGTTGACTCGGGTCGATCGAAACCGACCCGGATCAGCCGATCCGACCCGGGTCAACGCCCGGGTCGGATCCGTTGACTCGGGTCGGTCGAAACCGACCCGGATCAGCCGATCCGACCCGAGTCAATGCCCGGGTCGGACCCGTTGACCCGGGTCGGTTCCGACCCCCAACCCGGATCCGCCCGACCCGGTTAATATTATATTTTTATTTTATTTAAAAAAAAAAATTAAAATATTACTTTTTTTTTTCTTTTTCTTTTCTTCTGTATTATTATTATATTTTTTTTTTAAAATTTGTGTGATATATTCTAAATGTTTAATTTATTATAGTATTATTATGCATATTTTTATCTTGTTTAAATTAGACAAGCCTGAGATTGCGCGGTAATATTTTGCATGTTATTTTTATTATCGCTGTATTATTATGCATGTTTTTAATACAATCGCATGAGTTGTGTTTTGAATGTCATCTGACTTAGTTAAGGTTAGAACCTTAGGCCGCATGAATTGTTATGTTCCTGACTGCTAATCGTTTCTGATTATGCACTCGCTTGATCACCTCACATGTTAGGAGAAAGGTCCTAAAATCAATTTAAATTGCCTGACAAATGTTTTCAAAAAATGAACAGGGTAAAAAGGTACCGAAAGGGCATTAGTTATCCAACTAGTGTAACTAAGTCCTCGAATTCAGTTAATCTCTGGTTCGCAGGAATAGGGTGATTCTCCCATCACCCTATTTGGGTTTCTAATCGACCCACCCCAAATCGATTAGTGGCGACTCCTCGATATAAACCACTTGCATGTTAAAAACTTAAACCCTAAGTCGCGATATGGTATGGGTTTGGGAGAGCCCGAGTTAAGTCCCGAACCTAGACTTAGCACGTACCAGGCGAGCCTCCCTTTTTTCGCATGTTCGATAAACAAGGGCTCGGGAGTTCGGTCGCGACAAGTTGTTTCTCTATTGATGCAGCGGAAGTTCAGGTGGGATGAAATGGAAGAGGATGAAGTTGAAAGAACTTTTAAGAAGAAAGCCCGTGATCACATACGAAATGTGATGAATAAAGCAAAGATAAGTCAACTAAAGCCATATTTTACAACGGGTGACAATTGGATGGAAATTAAGAGATCTTGGACACTAAAAAGAATAAGCAAATGAGTGAACAGAATAAGAAGAATCGAGCTTTTAGTTCTAGTGAAGGGTCTGCCACATATGCTGGGGGCTCTATCAACATCGGGGAGCATAGAAAAAGAATGATAAGTCTGCTAAACATATTTAGAAGAAACTTAAAAGTACCAATAATGGCAAATTAGTGACGAATTTTGCCGCGAATAATTAGCGACGAATTTTGCCACGAAAAATTAGCGACGAATTTTGCCACGAATACAGTTCATGGCTAATTAGCAATGAATTTTGCCACGAATATATTTCGTCGCAATTTAACGACGAAAATTGAAATTTTTCATCGCTAAATTTTGCGATGCCGAATTGGCGACAAAATTTTTTTCGTCGCAAATTCGTTTAACAACGAATTTTTTCATTTTTTTCGTGGCAAAATTCGCCGCTAAAACCTACTTTTTTTGTAGTGTTATAAGTGTGACCAGGAATCTGCTACTCGCATGTTATATCTGTTTCTTGAAGCAGAAGATTTTGGTAAACAAAACCGAGGTAGGTCAAGAACATGTGAACTGGCCAAACATGGGCATAATTTAAATCAGTCTCGATCGTCCGAGGTTTCATATATTGGAGGGTCATGTCTTGATGCAATTTTAGTGTGATGATTGAAGTACGCCTGTTGACATTTTCCCTTACCTTTCTGTAGTTTTTTTTCCTTTTTTTGGCATAGAGGACAATGCACCATTATTGAAATAGTTTCAGCTCCATCGTAGCAGATGATGACTCTCCCTTCTAGCGAAAAAAGATGATGAGTCTCCCAACCTACTCGATAGCCTCATAATGCTGATAATCTAATCAAGATTATACTAGTTAATCCAGTGGAAAATGATTATACTAAGTGCTATGTGAAAATGACATTGGAGTATAGTAGGAAGATAGATGATCGGGTCAAGACATAATCAATTGCAGCATGGCTAATCAATGTATTACTTTTGTGGAATGCGTCATTAGTGGAGGAGAAGACTCATTGAAGTGTGATCGGTACGGTCACCCAACGAACCCAGAACTTAGAAAAGGAGTTGAAATCACAGAAGGTTAGTTGGTGAAAGCACAAAAATTGGAGTTTTAATAGGGTTTATAGAATTCCATTTGCCTTTATTCCAATAAAATTGGGTTATAAAGATCCACTTACCGTTCGGGAACTGTACTTTACTTGTTAGAAAGTCCAACAAAAAAGGATAAGCTGATAGGTGAAGGGAGATCGCGTGTACATAAAGAATATATAAATCTCATAATCAAGCAATGCGAGATAATTCAATACTATCGATTAGTGATTACTTTAAAAAAGTAGACAATTCTTTTAATTATTAATTCCAGTGGGGTATTTCTAATATAAATATAATATCTCTAAGGGTCTAATTTTCACTTTTTGTCTATTTATTTCTTGTCTTTTGAGTTGCTTTAATCATATGTCACGTGATAACATCCTTTTTCTTCCCCCCCTTCATCCGGGGTAAAACCAGTCAAAGAATTTAGTGATTGCACTACTCTTCCCATTCGTGGACGAGAACAAGAAAAGTTGTCAATGGTTGGAACCAGAAATCGTGATGCTTCGTAGCAAATTCGAATTTCGGTGGATTGCACTTAACCAAAAAAATGTTGTTGTTTGCGATTTAAGTTGGTTCGAGGGTATTGCCCATGGAATTTGACAAATGAGTTCCTGTAAAAGGTCGATGACAAAGCAATGGAGGAATCAAGTTGCACGATTGGCAACAGGAAGTCTTGAGAACAACCCGAACCCGTTTTAAACTTGGAGACAGATTGTTAAATGAAGCCTCAAACTTGTCCTCGCTAGAGGTGATTATTAGGAGGATCAGGAGTTAATGCGTTGTCCAAACCTGTCTATAACATAAAACTGATATAGGAATATACAGGTCATGCCAGGCTGTGTCATGCTTAGACCAAAGATGGGGATTGAATTTCTCATGTAAGAGCTTTGTCAAAGGCCCTCCATTTACCTCTCGCCTAGCGGGTTGAGCCAGTCACCCGCTCATTGATCACCTCTAGCCCTCACATATTAAAACTCAAAACATAACTATTTTTTATCTTTGAATGTTTATGGACGCTAATACCAAAAAATAAGTTCGATTACTTAATTAATTTAGGGTGCTTTTGAAGAGTTATATATTTTAGTAATGTGAATACACAATATTTGGGTTTAAATACCTGCCAACTAATAAATCTCAAATCTGCCCCAATCTTTATGGATTTTTGTAGACATAGATCTAAAAGATGTCTTGAAATTCGAATCCAGGAATTCGATTATACAACACTCTAAAGTTTGGGCTAATAGAAACTCAACTTACGATGACTTCCTGTCGAGCTTA